TGCTTAACATTAGGAAGAGACAGTCGAAATTTCTGGGGCACATAATGTGGAAGGAAGGCTTGGAAAATCTGATACTCACAGGACAGATTGAAAGCAAGAGACAGAGGAAAACAACGCGTAACATATTTGATGAACTAAGCAAATGGATGGTGGAACAGGGTTTAGGAGAAATAACAAACACAATTTATTAAGAGCTACAAATGACAGGAAATTGTGGAGAGCCATGATTGCCTATATCCTGATGGGAAACATCACATAAAGAAGATTGTACCATTAGGTTAGTAATGTAATAAGGATACAAGACTAAATAGACTAGATTTGTTTTACATATAAAACAATTGTTTATTCTTTTTGTACCCCCATCAAATTAGCGTCAGCTGTGGGAGGTTTGTGATTTATTTATTTTTTTTAGAAAGAGATGAAGGACTCTCCTTTCCCAGTTCTGGGTTTGGTGTTTATATAATGTCCTGTCATCTGATTGTCTTTGTTTATATCCCAGGTTCAGCTGGGTTCACCTTCTATTTATGTCTGTACATTATTTAACATTCTTTGTACTTGGTGACTCTGAGGTCATCTAGTTCAACTCTCTGAGGCACCTAGATCTTTTGAGATTCTGATGTGACACAGTACAAAGTTTATTTTGATATCTGTGATATATTTGATATATCTCAACCTTTCACATATTGGTGTCACCACAATTCAATGCTTTTTAGATCAACTCTTTCTGTTTGACATTAAATTTGATTCTCAAACTTCTCATATTTCCTGGTATGAATCCTATTCTACACTATCAAAAAAATCAGTTGGAGTTTTACAATGGATACTGCAATCAGAAATAATAACCAACTTTAAAAAAAAGATTATTTTTAAAGTTTTTTTTTTTAATGCTATTGTTCAGTGTTTACCAACATTTTATCAACCAGCAACACTTTTGGGTACAAACTTTTTGGTCAATACCACCCTGTCAAATTAAATTTTGATTATTATACTGAATTCATCTTTCATAGCAAGATAACACTTAGGTATTAGTGCAAAAATAATTATAATATTGTTTCCATTTCTATTAAAAATGCCAATTATTAAAATGTTAAAAAAATAAGCTTTTTTCAATGTTATCAATACAATCTTTGACTTTAGTGCTTACTGGTTAAGGCTCTTACTCTAGGTTCATTTGATAGCTTATATCTGTTTTCAATGCAATGATTAACTTTCTGGCTAAGACTCTTCCTCTAAGTTCCATGCTGCTGAGAAGTAATTGTAGATCTCCTCGTTTGGTAATTTGCAAGTGTTTTTTTTTTTTTAGTCAGAAGCTGTGTAACTGTGTTGAAACCACATTGTCATATAGGAAGTTGAAAAAGCAATGAAGGAAAAATTGATAGCTTCCCACAGCTTTAGATAACTTTCAAAAATTTCCTTTTGTAGTCAGTATTGAATAATAATTTTTGAAAATATAAAAAAAAAAAAAAAAAAAAAAAAGAATAAATGCCCACTGCCTCCCTGTTTATGTTTACTCCCTCCCCAATGAAATAAAAACTCCCACTTTCAACATAAGAGCTCACAAGGTGATGCTAACGGCCATGTTGGCTAACACTGCTATAGTTTAAGTGCTTCAGATCATGAATATAGAAAAAGAGAGTATTTATTTTTATAAACATTAATAGGTGAGTCCAGTTTACAATGTAAATACATTGTAAATTGACCACCCCCTAAGGAAGCCAAAACAAAACATGCTCATACCATATGATTTCTTAAAATGTAAAATTGAAATCTCTTCATCTGTAAGGAGACTGTCGAACAGCCACTACCACACAGGAGAATAGATATGACATAGAAGCAAAGAAAATGCTGAACTAGTAACTAAATTTTCCTCTGTCTTAATACTTTGCTTGGTATCAGGAAAGCTTCTTTCACTATTTCAATATGCCTTCAGATTTCTGTGTCACACTTTCCATTATATTTAGACCAGCATTCTCATCTTGGTTGTTATATTCATAATGTTTCGGTCAATGTACTCTCTAACCTTCTTCAGGTGTTTGTCTTTGAACTCAGTAAATTTCTTAGAAATTTGAACCAAACCCTTTATTTAACCCACAAAAAATATATTGTTCTCATTTCACTTTCCATGTTCAGGGGACATTTCATATCAGTTACTACTCACTATGAGCCATATTAACCTTTGTGTCTCTTACCTGTTTTTCCCCTGAACCAGAGTATATGTCAGTATCAAACCCAAGCTTAGTGGTGTGGATTTTGTTATTTGGTGCAGTTCTTTGTCATTCTATAGTACCAGTTCACAAAGTTTGAAGAAGGATGGTCCTTGCTAAGACCTACATATTTCTGCCTTTTCAGCTATATTCAGGTGTCTGTTCTGTACAGAGTAACCTTATTGTGACTTTGAGCAAAACCCTTTATTCAATCAACAAGCTCATGGAAGATAACTCTTATCAGTTAATACTCACCATTAACTCACTTTTGCGCCAATTGTCTGTTTCTACCACTGAATCGGAGTACGTATTTTATCAACACTACCAAACCCAACAATAGTGGTTTAGCTAGAGTGTGTCACCCAGGGCAGCCAGCGAGTCAAAATATTAGTTTTAAAAATGGATGTATGCAAAAATAAATTAGTTACATTTTTTTTTTATTTTTTTTTTATTTGTTTTATTAATCAATTTCACCCCTTGCAAGGCAGTAAAGCCACTACAACACAAGATATTACTGTGTGTGGAAGAATTAGGAACAGAATCATTAATAATGAGTGAGAAGAGAAAAGAGTAATCAGGAGGACAGTAGATAGTGATTGATATTGCATTTAAATTTTTGCAGATTAAATTTGGCTGGAATGCATAGAGTTGCAAGGGAGTTCCACAAGCAGGAAGTGTGAGAAAAGAAACTGTTAGCATAGAACTTACATTAATTCTCCCAATACATGACCCAAGTGCCAATCACAGCACTAAATGAGATTCTTGTAGTAGAGAAAGAGGAGAAAGAGAGTGCATATTTTGAGGATATGTAGGATAGATATCGGTTAAGATTGTAGAGAGCAGTTACCAGGCACTAGCAATTTGGAGATGCAGCCATACATAATCTGCATTTTTTTTTATCAATCTCATCCTAAGTAAGGCAGTAAAACCACTAAGACACAAGGGGTTACTGGGTGTGGAACAATTAGAAACAGAAACATCAATAATGAGTGGTAAGAGAAAAAGAGTAATCAGGAGGACAGTAGATAGCAATTGACATTGCATTTAAATTTTTTCAGATTAAATTTGGAAGGGAGTTCCACAAGCAAGAAGTGAGGAAAAAAAACTGTTAGTATGGAATTTACAGTTACATCTAGCCAACTCAACTGTTCAATTTTTATAAAATGGCAACTTTATTTTTATTTAAGCATTTTGAATAATTCTACATGAAAAAGTTATTAATGATTATTAATTTTATTCTATTTGAATCCACAAGGCAATGTGCTTATGTGTGAGCATAACAACCAAGACGCCATATCCCTTCAGGTTGGAATCGATCGTGTCTCTCCACAGATTCCTATTCTTTATTATCTGTGAATTCTCAAGCCTTCTTGGGAAAGATTGTGGATTGGTCTCCTGTTTTCTTCATGGTTTGGAATTCAATTTTATTTCTCTTAGACTGGTTGTCACCTGAAGCTAAGGAGCCTGTATACCTTGTTATTTAATCCATATCTGGGAGCAGGAGAGAAAGGGTGACATTCTTATCTTTTCCACTAGCATTTCTGCAAAAATGAATGCAATAGACAAACCAGAATTTGAACACTGCACCCCAGTTTCACTTTCTGTGCTGATATCCATTACACTAACCCCACATCATGAGATGAGCATATGCAACCAAATAGGCATAGAATAATTAAAATGGCTGTTTATTATATATTTTAAAGTTGAAATGTCTAGGTATAAGCATGAGTTCTATGCTAACAGTTTCTTTTACACTTCTCACCTGTGGAACTCTCTCCTGGCCTCTTGGTTTGTAGTCAACTTTAATCTTCAAATCTTATATATATAAAGATTTGCTGATAAAGATTCTCCTATTAAACCAAAGAAATGAATTAACTATAAATGTAGGCATAGTTTACCTTTCACTTTACAATATGGTTATATAACTTAGAATTTGGTAGCATTATTTTATATGGCTATAATTAGTAAATTGCGGTGCACATTCTGAGTATTATTTTATTTGTTTACATTTAATATATCTATGTATTGCTATCTAGTCAGCATTATTAACATTTTATATAGTTGTTCCACACATTGTTTATTTTTAAAGAGTTAGATTGTATTCACGAGTTTCTTAAAAAAGCCTTTTAATTTTTAATTATCAACTACAAGTTACAACTAGCTATGCTTGATTATCTCCCTTTACTTCTTATGGAAAACTGAAGAACTGTTTGTCAACAATTGCGTTACAGTGTTGCCACTCATTTATAGTTTGAATCAATTTCTTGTCTGGCATTAATAACCTCTAGGATTCTATTTCATTATGTCATGTGTAAAATTTTTTTTTTTTTTTTTTTTTTTTTTTTTAGTTTAATTTTGAATTTAACGTAGGTCTGACACCTAATTGGTTAATCAGGTTAAACCCACAAGCCTCATTTTAATTCTGATCATGTTTTCTTGTCTTCTCTTTTGAAAAAAGAGGTGGTATTTTTGCTTTTGAAATTAAAAATAATCATTTAACCACCAGTCATTTACTATTGCCTGAAGAGGCGCAGCTTAGTGCCGAAACATGAAAGCTATTGTGTAGCAATTTTTTAATGTATTTTTGTTTTAATCTCCTATAATAAATATTATTAAGCTCTGCTTTGTATTGAGCCCTTTTTTAAAATTAAATGCTACGGACAGTGGAATTATACTCCATTTGTTCATTTTTTATCTTATACCTGGATATATATATATATATATATATATATATATATATATATATATATAGGAAAGTTATCTTGTTTACATTATATTGTTGTCTTTTATCCGCAGGTACCCCAGGTATTTCAAATGAACAACTTGGTCCTGGGGATGAAGTGTGGGTGGAGGAGGAGGAAGAGATTTGCATGACTGGGCCATGCCTGTGCCTCTTTTGTGCTGAAATTGGTGCAAGTGCTGAGGCTTGTCTCAACCATTTGCAATCACAGCATCAGGTCGACCTGAAAGGAATCTGTGAAAAATTATCACTGTCTTCATACGGTTACATTCAGATGATCAACTACATTAGAAAACATGTGAGTATTAAAGTTGCAGAGGTGGTGTGGGGTTATCAGCATGGAAACTGGAAAAGGTGAGCCAAGTTCAAGTTCAAGATTAGACTATGGTGCATATCTCTTTTCTTTGCTTTTTTATTTTTTTTTTTTTTTTTTTTTTTTTTTTTTTTTAACGAATTATATAGTAAAGTAGCAGAGGCTCTCTCTCTCTCTCTCTCTCTTTGGCTGACAGCCACCTTAACAGATGGAAAACTCTGAATTCTAAATTGTGGAGAGAGCATCTTTCCCATAAAGGTATTGCAATTTGCAGATAGTAAAGAAAAAGAATCTCCTACATCCTGAAGATATATGGCATTAAAAAAGTAACGAGGTCCCTGAGAATTCACAGTGCATCTTTACAACTTAAAAATAAACAGTGAAATAAAGTTTTATATATATATATATATATAATATATATATATATATATATATCCAAGTAATATTAGAACAAATGTAGTATGATTCCATTGTACGTAACATTTAATTTAAGAGTTCTGTACATACCAGAGCTAGATATTACTTATTTTAAGATATTAAAACATGTTAAAAATCGCTACATAATTACAAATACGTTTTGACATCATAAATGTTTCTTTAGGTGATGTTAAATCAGAATACTTTAAAAAATAGATGTGTGCTTTGCTGTGATTAACCAGTTGAATATAACCTACACTAAATTCAAATTCATTAGAAAAAAATCTTTTGATATTGGTCATGACACAAAGTTGTCTGCATATAAATCCTAGACAATTTTTTTATGGGCAGATACAGATTGTTACATTACTTCATAAGATGTATCAAAGTCTGACACTCAAAATTAGTGAAAGAGATGGGGAGGTAATTTAACATAATGCTAGCCAGTTACATGCAAACACACACACACGATGCGATGGATAAATTGTCGTCTAAATTACAAAAAAAAAAAAAAATGAAAATAACACTCTTGTTTTAAGATATATTTACCAAAATTGTCATTGGCTTCAACCATGACCTCCAGACAATTTCAGAATCTGAAACTCTTCTGGATGGTCTCCTTGTTTAAGTTGGTGAATGTGGCCATAATCCTTGCTTTCAGTTCATCTTTAGTATTACGTTTTTTGTTTTGTTTTTTTTTGTTTTTTTTTTTTTTTGTTTGTTTCTTGCTCAGCTGCACCCCCCCCCCACATATAATCAAGGTGGTTGCAGTCTGGGGACTTAGGTGGTCAGGTTTAAAGGGTGATGTGGTTGCAGAAATTGCCTGACAACCATGACTAGGTTCTCCTGCTTGTGTGACATGGTGCAGAATCCTGTTGTCAGACATAGCATCTTCCAGCAGTTACACTCTTGACCAAGGGCAGCACTTCCTCCTCAAGGCACTTAATGTAGATCTCCAAGTCTGAAGCCCTCACCAACAAATTTGGGAGTTTTTTTTCTTGTGTTTGAGAGTGAGTTTCCCGAATGGCCATACCTTCATAATCACCATTAGAATCTTCTGCCCTGTCTTCAGGTTGACACCCTAACACTCTGAAATGCTTGTATTGGAGCTTCCGGCATGAATACCAAGAAGTACAGCATGGCATTTCCAAATTTCTGGCAGAGTGAATTGTGTCATGGTGCATTTTTTTTCTCACCGATGTATGCATGAAATTAAAAATATAATATGGCGACAATTTACCCATCGCACTGTGTGTGTGTGTGTGTGTGTGTGTGTAAAAAATATATATATATATAGTGATATATACTTAAGTTGATAATAGCCTCTTGCATGAAACTTTGGGTAGCATTCTGCAGTAACGAACAAAATTTTTTTTTTTTTTTTTTTTAAATGTATATCTTAATTCTTTTACAGTGAGCATTCTATATTTTTTTATTCCCAACACTACACACACACACACGTGTAATATATATATATATATATATATATATATTTTTTAAGGATGTTGGCGATCACCACTCTCCAATTGTTCTTTTTACTTCATTACTTGTAAATATCTTCTTGGGAAAGATGGTGAAGTGGTTTCCCATCACCTTCTCCAATTCAATTTTCTTTCTACTAAACCAGTTGTCACACAAGGCTGAAAATTTCATTCTGCCATACTATTTAATCTATAGCGGAGAGAGAAATGATATATTTTAGCTTTTTCTAAAAACGTTTGTGAGAAAGTGAATACAGCAGGCTCAACTGGAATTTGAACTTGGCTTGCTGATTCCACTTTCCAAGCTGATAACCACAACAACACTTGCCAATTGTGTTTTGTAAATTTCATAAATTACCATTTTCTGGGATTTTATTAAAAGACAATATTACTTGTAAAAAATATATTCTTTTTCTCTTGGACTCATACTTCTTAAAATATCATTTATTGTTACTCTATCACTATTGCTACATTTCTTAGTACCACGATTTCAGAGCTTCACAGCTAAAACGCGGTAAGAATGAAGTTTTTCTCAGACAGCTGGTTCCCAGGTACAGGCAGCAGAAAAGATGCTTTCCCCAATTACTGCAGTCCTAACCTTTTTCAAGTCTAGGGTCAACCTTTTGTCTATTCTAAATATCCTCATAATCTATACTTTGTTCCTGCTCTTAATCTATACAATAACTTCATTCAGTAACCCTCTACCTAGAGTGGCTCTTGGGCTTTATATTGGGTGAATATTTAGCAAAAACCAAATGTGAGAAATATTTATCTAATGACTAAATACTGCTTGGCTTGTGTCAAGTATGTTTTAAACTTGCTGTTGAAATCCTTGCCGTATTTAATATTGTTGAAGTTATTGCTAACATTTTTTGTCAAGATTTACAAACACTTACCCCACTGTTTTTATATTAACAGTGCTATTATTGTGCATTATATTTTACCAGAATTGTGTGTGTATAATATATGTATGTGTGTATAATATATATATATATATATAATATTAGTGGTAAATATACACATACAATTTTTTTTGAACTTGTAGGTCTGATGAATTGGATCGTATTTACGATTTCAATGGAATAAATTATGAGTATGGAATATTAGTGTTTAAGCCTTTTTATTATTATATATATATATATATATATATATACAGAGAGAGAGAGATTAAAAAAAGATATGCAAAAAACAATATGGCAATTTTAATAAATAAGAATTTATTTTAATCATGAACTTGTTTTTCTAGTGGGAGTATTTTGTATGTTAAATAATAGAACTTTTAATTATTACTCCAAAAAGTAACGAAAATTTATTGTAATAAACTAGGCATCCAAGTAAAACCTGTATTTCGTATCAACTTACCTGTTTGCACTTCTCTCCAAAATACGGTTTCCATTGGTCAGTGTATGGCTATTTTGGAGGGTGTGACAGACAGATGAACGAACGGAAGTCACAGAGTTTTAGTTTTGACTTCCCTTGATCTATGCTGTTACTTGTGTACTGGAAATACCTGTAATTGTAACTGTAAAAATCATTGGGATTCATGTGTAATAGCTTATGAATCAATTTGATTTAAAGGAATATACAAAGTAATTTGCTTGGTGTTGAACCAACTAAAAATTCATGTATTAGTTTGTATTTTTCATTTGATTATGATTGAATGCTTTCAACAGTTACAGATTTTAACTTTAACTGCATTGCAAAGGTTAAAGAAAGCTTCATGTTTTAAAAAATGTATTTTCTATATGATAATGTCATCATGGCATTTACAATGCACAAACCACCCTCTTCACTTACAGCATTCCCTATTCACTAAATCGAAAATAGCTTGAGTTTAGTGACATTTTGTTTTGATGAAAATGTTTCAATAAATTTAGAGGTGTCTGGCTAAATCTGTTACTTCATTATAGCTGCAGGTCCATGAAAATTCACAGGGCATCTTTATAATTTCAAAATATCTAACAATGCTGCTTGTATTTTAATAATACAAAAAGTAATAGTCTGCATTTTTAAATAGGGGCTGAACTTTGCATAAATTCTCATTCTGTAAGATTTTGATGAAAGATGGTATTTCTTGCAAAAAACCTTTTCTTTGCATTAATTTCTACTTTCTTTCTTTGTTAAAATCCCATAGCATCAGAAAAATAAAGTTGTCTCGCTAAAAAATGCTAGTCACAGATATATTTTAAATCTGCAGAAAATTAAATTTTGTTTTTGGCTTTGTTGTTGAATAGTAGAGTTATTATTATTATTTTTTTTTTTTTTTTTTTTTTTTTTTTTAGCTAGTGACTGGAATGCTCATAAGATACTTGGCTAGCCAATAAATGTCAGTCTCTGAGAGTCATAGGGGGGGTACCTTGGGTATGAAAAATGATTTGGGGTAGTACCTTGGATGTGGAGAATAACTGATGTTTATGATTAATGCTTTGTGATTGCAATCATTTTGTTTTAGAGGAGAAACAAAGATTTTCTCGCTGTTGAAACAGTGAAAAATAAATAACTTGGATATTTTTACTTTGATTGCAGTGAATGCTTTAGGCAGTTACTAATTTCAAAAGGTTAAAAATCACCTGCAAACATCAAAACAATTTTGTTTTTCTGAATAAAAACACTCACACACCAACTTATTCCCCAACCAGCCTCTTTCCTTAGGTTTCCTGTCAGTAATTTCAGTAGAGCTTAAGCTGAAGGTGACATTTTGTTTAATAAAAGTGTTTAAATAAATCTGAAGGTCTCTGATGAAAAAAAAATCACAAAATTTGACAGCTTTCTTTGACAGGTTTCTCAAGCTGTCTATATTCCCTTTCATGAAAGAAGGCAAATTTGAACTTTACAGAAAATAAAATATGGGAGCACTGAACTTAAATGCAGTCTTTGGCTGTTTGATTAGCATAAACAATCAAAAATTCATGAAATAAAAAATGCAGTCATGTGACCCATTTTAACATTTATTAAGACTGGTACAGATATAATTTACCATTCTGCCATGCATAAAGATCATGTTTGAATCCTGAGCTGGCATTTATAGTATAAGAGAATTTCACCTACAACTAATTATAAAACAGGTAAGTGTACAGTATTTCCTGCCATGTAATATGTACTTATAATTTGTCAAGGTATATCTATATCTAAAAAACAGAAGATGTCTGTCTGTATGTATGCTATTTATGCACGTCCACATTTCTTAATTGATTTCAATGAAATTGTACACACATGTTGCAAATTTACCAAAGTAAGTCATAACCAATTTTACAATTTCCAGGACCCCCCCCCCACGGGGTTTGGCAGAAAATTCGATAAAGCTGAAGGGTGATACAACTTTTTGCAAAACCCAAGGCAAAGTTGTACACGAACAAAATTTTTACTGGATGAGCTGATGTTCTTTGCACATAATGCAAAATGTAGCTCATGTTTTGAGGTTTATGTAGATTGCTTGATAGTTTTCCCGCTACATTGGCTTCACACAAACAGTTGAAAAAAAAAAAATGAAAAAAATTGGGTTTTTTGTATTACTTAAAATAAAATCTTGAATAAATTCCTCATTTTTTTATCCAATTTTCTTCAAACCTGTTGCAAAAATTTGCCATCATGCAAGAAATAAGATAGTGTTGTTTTAGTCCTGCTCACTTCTCCGCGTATAACAAAAAAAACCTGTTAAAAAAGCCTGTTTTTCAGCCATGACTCCCTGGTTTTTCATCCAATGCTTTTCAAATTCACCATGTAAATTACATCTGATGCACAAATTGTCTTGCATGAATGTTTGGTTTAAATTATTTCAGTTAAGTGGACGAAATCTGTGACAAACTAGATTCTAAATTGGCATTTAAACAACCTTTGATGCAAAGATCTTTTGAGAAGGATTATTGAAGTGATAAAAGGGAAAAATTCCCAAAGAACCTCTTATTAACCCCGGCTTTACATTAAATGTACAAAGAAGGCGGGGGTGTCATGCATTTGCACTTCCAGTTAAATCAAGCTCTGATGCTTCATCCCTATTTTAGCTTGATTATTAGATTTGTGAACAATGCCATACTATTTGAAAGATGGTGAGTAGAGTAGCTTAATATATCAACAGATGATGCAAGCTGGGACACAGGAAGAGATTTCTAGACAGGGGTGCATGTATACAGAGGGGGTGTGGTTATACAATTGCAGCCATGTACACCTCAGTACCTTGGCTAGTTTAGGATAAAATAATACATATCTAAGAATTCATCTATATTTATATATTGGATTTTTATATTTTAGAATTTTGATTTGTAATCTAAATTTTATTATATATAGTGAGATGGGGAAAACAAATATTCATATGCATATAAATTTTAATTTATTTTATTTTCAACGAATGAGTAAACATACTTTTCATATAAATAACTGTACACAGATGCATAACTAAATATCCATAGAAAACAGAAAAAAAATGACTTAATAGAAATAAATCCCATTTATGCATTTTAATGGGTGAAAAAACTATTCGTACAATACAAATTTCAGATTTTGAAACTTTTAAATTGCTTTAATAGTCTAGAATATTCAAACATTGTTATCAGTAGTTATTTTTAGCCTAAAAACTACAAACAGAAAATTCTGTAATTGATATGCATGAAGGTAATTATCATGGCAAGAGGTAAAGAATTGACAAATTTGCAAAAAGAACCGATTGTTAAGCTCTTGAAAGAAAGTGAAAATTACAGGAAAATCTCGGATAACCTGAATAATTCCATTTAATACCATTCGTTCATTCATTGCAGGGGATAAAAAAAAACTCAAAATTGTTAAAAAAATAATGAAGAACAGTTGCTCTACAGAAGATTTCTTCAAGATTTTCGAGGAAATTAAGGTGTCAAATTAAACAAAATCCAATCCAGGAAATTCAGTGCATGTCTTTTTATAGACATTATGAGAGGATTTACTAAACGAATAAAGAAAGCTGAAAACTAAGCATCGCTCGTAGCACCAGATGTGTAACTCCTTTTCACTCTGTGTTTCTGTATTCATTGTTTCACCTAAGATTATTTTTTCATAATCATAAATGCTAACTGCGGCTTTTGTGATATATCAGAATGACATTCAAAAGTTATCTCCCTTGCGTTCTCAATTTTATTTTATTTCTTCTCTTACAGAAAATTAGTGCTTCTGAGCTAAATAGCATTTCAAGCAAAGATACACCCTGGAAAGATCCACAGTACCTTGTTCCAGAAAACAACGAGGACTCTCTTCTCATGCTTGGTATGTTGTTTTTTTAAGATATTTAAGATATGGCAAAAATTTCATTCTACTTGTCTTGCAAAAATTCAAATTTTTCTCACTTACATTGAGCTTCACAAAACTATGGCTAACGTCATTTTTAGTTTTGAGATTAACTGCTATCTAAAGTCAAAATCTTTATACAAGTGCCTTTCCAGAAGATTTCATCCTAGTTTTAAGTTCACCAAATTAGTCTTTTTGCTCCTTTCTACTGGGCTGCGAGTGTGCTCCTTTCTACTGGGCTGCGAGTGTGCTCCTTTCTACTGGGCTGCGAGTGTGCTCCTTTCTACTGGGCTGCGAGTGTGCTCCTTTCTACTGGGCTGCGAGTGTGCTCCTTTCTACTGGGCTGCGAGTGTGCTCCTTTCTACTGGGCTGCAGTGTGCTCCTTTCTACTGGGCCATGAGTGTGCTCCTTTCTACTGGGCTGCAGTGTGCTGCCTTTCTGCTGGGCTGAAGTGTGCTCCCTTTCTACTGGGCTCTTGGTGTGCTCCTTTCTACTGGGCTGCGAGTGTGCTCCTTTCTACTGGGCTGCGAGTGTGCTCCTTTCTACTGGGCTGCAGTGTGCTCCTTTGCTCCTTTCTACTGGGCTTGAGTGTGCTCCTTTCTACTGGGCTGCAGTGTGCTCCTTTCTACTGGGCTGCAGAGTGTGCTCCTTTCTACTGGGCTGCGAGTGTGCTCCTTTCTACTGGGCTGCGAGTGTGCTCCTTACTAGGTGCCTCACATTTGTAGCCTTATACCAACCTAAGCTAAATACATAATTGAGTTTTTCTATAACATAAAAAATTCTTGAAGTTCATGCTGTAGAAAAGGGGTTGGGGGAAAGTTAAATTTGTTTTTTAACTCCTTACTTAAAGACTGCTAAATTCTGATATCGAGTTACCTATTTATAGATTTTACAATTACTTGCAAATAAAAATAAAGAAAAAAATAAGGGGGAAACAACTCTGTAATTAATCTGTATTATTAATGTAATTTATTAATTTAATTATTTTATAGGTTTCAGTATTTTAAATAACAATTAGTAATATTTTTACTTTTTCAATTTCTTTTCAGCTTTTACACATATTTTTTTATAAGCAACTTAGTTTTTCAACCAGTATTCAGTTTATTGAATGGTTGTATAAATTTTTTTATGCTTGGATTTAATAAATAGAAAAGAAAGACATTTCAATGTAACTAAAACCCAGTTTACATCCCTTCCCTCTCTTTTGAACAGGAGTAGAGGTTTATCCCTTGTTTCCTGTTTAGAATTGGGTTTCAGGTCCCTTCTAAAGTTTTCTCATTTTCTTTCTTTCCTAGTAGACCCCCTTGTGTCTTGATTGTGGTGAAATGATTAAAAAAAAAAAAAAAAAACTTAACCAGTCATGGGTAAGCTATTTATTTCCTCTTTTCCTTTAAAAGACTTTTGTATCTGTCATTATTATAACAAAGACACTGCCATATGGCGTCACCAGTGTAAGAGAGATAACTAAAGGACACATGGCACAGTGGATAAAGGCGTTAGTTAGATCCAGTGACAGGACTCAAAGAGCGTGAGTTCAATACCTGGTTAAGTGGTGGAGAACTTAGAGAGGGGAATTAACAGGAGATAACTGATAACTGACATCCATTAGACATGGCACGTGGAACTAGAACAGTCTACCCCAGTGAGTGAAATAAAGGGTTCAGTTTGATATTCCAATCACCTGAAGAAGGCCAGAGTGTACAATGGCCAAAATGTTGTGATAAATATGGCAACAAAGATGAGGACAACAGTCTGAATAATGTAAATAGTGTACATAATACCTCATCTCAGAAATATAGACAGATAACTAAAGTTATTAAACTACAGGGGAATAAATATAAGCTTATAAATTATGCAGTATGATAAATAATAAAAAGGCATAATAGGAAGAAAAATTTGTTACTAGAACTATTTCAATTTTTCTAAATATTTTTAAAAATGATTTCTGGTATGACATTTGTCAATTCACTCTGAAAAGGCAACAAAAAAAATAACAATACTTTACTAAACACAGGCTTTATTTTCTTTCTTTCCTTTCCACCTTTCTCTTCCTCTAGGGCAGTGGTTACCAAACTTTTTTTTTTCTCTTGGCCACATTCTTGGAATGTAAATTTATCCATGCCCAGAGAAGTCCTAGTGAAAAGACGCAAACAGCCCTATGTCAAAGAATGCCCAGAGAGAGGGTTAAAGGGTGAAAACCTGGGGCTTGAAGTCAGAATATTATCATTGATAACTCTCATCCAATTTGCAGAGCCTAGTTAGTATATTCTTAATACTTGATATAATGCAAAAATATCACAATGATAAAATCGGTCAATAATTATTAGTAACTATTTAGACTTTGACTCGTACATGCAATTACAAGTAATCCATAATAATATTTTAAATTTTGAAATCATATTTATTTTTGGCATATGCATTTTTTGAAACTGTTTCTAAATCTTTGATTGTCTTGCAATCATTCCGCCTCATCTATCTTTTTCCGACACACCTCATAGATGTGACATGCCATTTGGGAACCACTGCTCTAGAATAAGTGAGTAATATTTCTTGACATCCACTGATAAGAAGCCCAGGAGCTAGACACAGGAAATGAAATAATAAAAAAAACAAAAATGTAGCTGTCAATCAATCTCATCCCTTTTGTTCTCCAGCCACTCACCCATAACGTAATCAACTTCTCCCATTGAACCTAATAATTACCACCAATAGTCTTTAGTTTTTTGGGGTTTTTTTTTCCCTTTTCAATGGCCCATTGACTGAGAAAAAAAAAGGTAAGTTTACATTATGCATCACATGGTATCATTAAATTCTCCCCAGAATCTATCTTCTATCTTTTGCTCTGTTCTCTTATTTTTTTTTATGCATGATACAGTTAAAAAGAAAATGTCACTGTCTACAATTGATCTTGTACTTTTTATCCTCCAGCCACTCATCCATAATGTAATCAGCTTCACCCTTGACCTAATAAATACTCCTTCTCTCTCTTTTCACTTAATAAATACTCCCTCTCTCTCTCTCTCTCTTCACCTGATAAATACTCCCTCTCTCTCTCTCTCTCTTCACCTGATAAATATTACCCTCCCATAGTCTTTAGTTTTCCTACATTCTCTTGACACTGGCTCATTGGAGGAAATTTTATTTGCAAACATGGTTCCATATAACTCTACAGGTGGTGCTTCATAAAAATAGCCTAAAAACCTTTTTACGCACATATCCCTATAAGCTGTGCCTCTTTCTCTGTAACCATCTACCTCAAGTTACCTTGTACAGAAGTTTTGTACTGGGTGGACATTTAAAAAAAAAAAATAAAAATAGCACCCCCCAACCGAAAAATTTAAACTATAATTCCTTAGAATTTCTCTCATAATTTCATGCAGTAAAAATGTTGAAACTTATTTCTAAAACAAAGTTTGTATAAGAATGAAAAGATTGATTTCAGAGAGTATTTGAGCATTTTTTTTCCTTGTGTTCTTTTCATGGGATGTTTAAATTTCATTTGTAGACATAGTGCCATATAACTATCCAGACATGGATCTTCAGCATGGACGGCAAGAACCTCTTGGAGCCGAAAATGGTTCAGTTCTGAACACTGATACAATGAATGGCTACAATTTGTCTCAAGCCGAACTTGATGAAAAACTGAAAAGTTCTGAGCACAGGTGTAATGAACTGCATGGAGAATTACAACGAGCAGTTAGGGACTTGACCAAAATTCAGTAAATATTCTAATTTTCTTTCTCTTACTCTCTTTTTTTAAACCTGAATTTCTCCGCATCTTGTGTCAAAAAAAAAAAAATGCTTGTTCATTTTGCTTTTGGAATTTCATGATGAAAACAGTTTCTGTATCCCAATCAATCAAAACAAACAAAGATGCTCGGTTCATAACAGATAATATCATTTGTCCAAAAACTGGCTTTATTGAAAGTGTTAAATTGAATTTTCACTTCATTGAATAGTTCAGAAAATTAAAGGGAGATAACTGAATGTTGCGTTTCATAAATTATCATATTTGACTTCATATAAGGCACACGGGTGTATATAATTTCAGCAGGGAAAATCAAGAAAAAATTAATAATTAGTAAAATTAGTAGTAAATGATACAGCCTAGGCTATATTTATGAGGTATTATTTTGGTTAAATAAGCCATGATTACAATTAAAAGGAAAATAAAAGAACTAAACCTATAAAAACTTTGGGGCCCTCTTTGAGAGTGTTTAACCCAAAGCCATTCTAGAACAAAACCCTACACGAAAATATAAAAGGGCAACTGAATAAACACCCGGCTTCAAAATGCAACTAAAACTGAATTACATCCCCCACCCTTATATAATAACAACATATAAAAGAATTTGTTTGCAAAATACACAAAATAAAAACAAATCTTAAATCTTCTTCAAAATGACTTTTGGGGTTGGTGTGCCAGTAATAGTATGTTGTACCTTTTAGTTCAAGGTATTTTATTTCTCGGTCATTTTTAGACCCACCTACTGTAACAGAAAGGCATTTTGCAGTAGTTTTGGTAATCATTCACATAAGTGGTGTAAAATAAATTTTCATTTCACAGCCATGCCATGCAGTCATCTGCCAGTCCAAATTATTATCACAAGTAGATATTTTGCAAGAAGACTGGTGCTTATTGGAGCTTGGCAATCATCTTAGGGTTCCTATAACTTGCTGCATTGGTTAGCATGATGCCAGCTCATTTGAAACCCATACAATCAGCCATTTGTGCTAAATGCCTATCAAGATGCAACAGATGGCTATCACTGGTATTGCAAATTTTGTAAACATCAGCGAAGTATCAGAGGTATTCAGGTTGACATTAAAGCAACAGTGTCTATTGCTGGAATTGCAACATGCCACAGAATGATAATCTATATATTGATTTTACACTGTTCAGGGAATAGCAGTTTAGTGGAGGATTATTGTAGTTTTTTTGACGCACAATATGTTTAAAATACGTAAAAGAATAAAGCCATTTCTAGTCTAATCCAGTTACTGATTTTTGAGGAAATTTTGATTTATTCAGTATCTCTCCTCCTGTGTAGCAGTAAATGCTGGACAATCTCCTCAAAATGAAGAGACTTGAAGCAACAGAAATGTGGTTCTACAAAAAGATGCTGAGGATACCATAGACCGAACATGTGAGCAACAAGAATGTTTTGGAAAACATGGAAACAAAAAGGAAGCTTATACTTAACATTGGGAAAAGGTAGTTGAAATTTCTGGAGCACGTAATGAGGAAGGAGTGCTTGGAAAATCTGTTACTCACAGGACAGATTGAGGGGGGAAAAAGTGACAGAGGAACACTTAATGAGCATTTACACTATTTACCTTGTTCAGACTGTTGTCCTCATTTTTATTGTAATATTCATAACGTTTCAACTGTTTTATGCTCAGGCCTTCTTCAGGTGATATACATTGGAATTTTTGAACCAAACCCTTTATTTCGTCCACTGGGGTAGATTGTTTTAGTTCCGCATGCCATGCCTTTTCTGGATTTCTTTTATTTCCCTTTAGTAACACAATTCTCCAAGTTTTGGCTCACCTCTGCTGTGGCCAGGGATTGAACTCGGAACTCTTTGGGTCAAATCACTGGATTACTTCAACCAACGCTTTTATCCACTGGGCTATGACAGAGATGATCACAACAGTCTGAATAATGTAAATAGTGTAAATAATTACAATACCTCATCTAAGAAATATAGACGGATCCTGAAGATGGAGAGAGTGTACAATGACTAAAACGTTGTGAATATGACAATAAAAATGATAACAGTCCAAATAATGTAAATAGTTACAATACTTTGTCTCAGAAATATATACAGATACTTGATGAGCTTAAGCTAATAACAAAAAGACAAAATTTATTAAGAGCTACAAGGGACAGGAAGATGTGGAGGGCTATAATCGCTTATGTCTTGAAGGTATGCGGCAAAGAAAAGAATTATTTATTTATTCACCACCACTACCAAAAATAAATTCATTCTCTCTCTCTCTCTCTCTCTCTCTCATTGAGCCATGCATATCTTGGAGCATATTTTCCAAAATTTTTTGCCTTGTTTGCAGAGAATGTGTGAAAGATCTATACATGAGGGCAGAGTCTTCCACCCCAAATAGCTGCTGCAATGCAATTCAGGAATTACGTGAAGACGAAGATGAGGCTTATTTTGGGTCTTATAGCCACTTCAGTATTCATAGAGATATGCTTCAGGTAAGTGACTTCCCCCTATAAATGTCTCTTCTTTTCTCTAATAATCTCTCTCTCTATCTCTCTCAAATATATGTTTAAGGAATTAACCTTCAGGAATCTGGTGGTGACTATCTAAAACGTTAAGTCCTGCCAGTGCAAATTGTTGAATTTTTTGGTTGTGTAGTCATATCCTTAAAAGAATATTGACTGAAATTCAGGGCAAAGCTACTGCAATTTCAAATATATAGAATTAATATATAAAACCCTATAATTTGAGGGGATTCCATATACAGTGGAACCTGTCGAATGGCTCCCTTTTCGAACAAATTAGTTGTCGAACAAAAATTTGTCCAGTTTGTCATACCATAACTCGGTTGCTGAACAAGCCAACTACACTACGTGAGCAGCACATGATCACAGAGTGACTGAGCGGGATTGGCGCCAGTCTTGCCAATGCTATATCTCGCTTCCATAACATTGTGAAACAGAGGCAAAAGCAAGTTTCAATAGAAAAGGATTTTGGTGAAAAAGAGTCTTAATGAGTCCCAGGCTGCTAGCAAGAAACAGAAAATCCAGGAGATGGGAGACTCCCCTTCTAAACGATAACATCTCTTCCCTCCCACCTCCTCCCCACCCTCCACTTATGCCATCAAAACTTCTCAACACAGGTAAGGATGAATAAAATTACCTTCCTTATTAATATGCAGCTTTATTCTTTATTCAGTGTTTAAGATCAAATGATTTTCATTGGTTTTGTAGTTGTACTCTAAATACTTTTCTGAAGGTTCGAATATGCAATCATCCGGGGTCCAGGAACAGATTATTCCATTTTACATTGATTCCTATGGGAAAATTGTTTCAGTTTTTCAAACTGTTTGTTTCACAAACGGCCTTCAGGAACAAATTCAAAAACCGAGGCACCACTGTATACAGTAATATTTATAAATGATACAAAGGACTAAATGTTAATGAACTTTTCATAATATGGCATTATTTTTTATTACCATTTATATTTAGCAGATACACGTGTTTCAGTAAGCATTTATTTTTCAAACAGTTACTTTTGTCTACCAGTTTGCGTTGTTTATTTTATTTATTTTATTTTATTTTTTTTTAAAGAAAATGTGCCCTTTTGTGGATGCGCGAAGGATAAGTCATAAAAATCAAATGAATCAGTCAATTACAGATGGGCTTTCCTTCATTAGGGGTAATTGAACATTGCTTTGCGATGAAACCCTTCATGGCAGAGTGGTCTAAAAACAGGCCAAGCTTAGATGGTTGCTTCTCCTACATAAGGAGAAACCACCATTATACCTTGAACCGATTTGAACCCTGCTGAAGGTTATATTTTCTTTATTAAAGATTTTCAAAAATACAGGATGGTAGATAAAAATTATACTTCTGACCTCTCTAGCCATGGTTGACAACCAGTCTAGGAGAAGGAATTCTGGATTTAAAACTCCATGGTATAAATTATGCAAACAACAAAAAGGATTGTGGTATTCAAACTGACTCTATGATCCTGATTGTAGTCCATCTGATGTCTGTGATGTCTATAGGTAAATATGGACATGCAAACCCACATCCTTTTAGTTTTCTTTTGTTTGACAAGGGAGTTAGTGAGGAACGTACGTTGGCAATTATAAAATCAACTCAATTTCCCTGCTAGCAGGGTGTAGAATACACCAACTGCATCTTCTGCTGATGTGTAGCGCCCCTCCTCCTCCTCAATTTGATGGATGAATACAAACTCAAGTTGTCATATCAGAAGAAAATGAGTAACTACTGACACCGAAATTCAAGCCTGACACTCTGGACTTATGAATATATGTTTTCTGCCAGGTGTATAGTGGTGTCAGGCTACTGACTGCAGTGACTATTTAGTGGAACTATCCAGTCAAATTAGTGTGAATTATTGTGCTTCGATGATTTGGGTTTTGATTTAGGATTTATTAGCCATTAAGCCAAGCCATGCTACTAACAAGGTATTCACTGAAATAGTTAATAATCTTTGGTTGACTTTTATTTCTTTGTTCTTGTTAAGTATTTATTTGCGATTGTAATTAAATACTTAACAGAAATACCTCCCAAATAATGGTAAAACATTAGCAGCGATGGCGTCTTCAGTTAGTTAATATCTTACCATTATGTGGAAGGTATTTATGCCACAACCATCATTTCATCAGTTGTACCTTAGCTTGTTCAGCCATGGAGAGTGTTACAGCACAGCAAGATTCTATTTTCCCTTTTAAGGAAAGCACACTTTACAAAGGAGGACACGGAGAATACGTTTTCTTTCTTAATGTGCAGGCCGATTGACGTGATACACACTCATTAAAATAAAAATGAGGCATCTTTTTCAAACACAGGTATCCACTAAAAATAACCTTTGAAGTAATAAAAAGTTCAACTATATAACAAAATATTACTCCAAATACTTAGATATGTGTATATTTTTAAGGGCCTTGATGCTAATCTCCCTAAAAATGTTACCTCAGAATTTGATCTAATGTATAATGTATGTAGTCACATTTAAGACAGACCTCAAAAATCATCAAAAATGCCACACACAGAAGTCATTCATTATACATTATGTTGTATTAGTGTAACAACTACTGCAAAAGATGCTCAATATAATTTGGTTATTTATTTGCAGATTCACCTAACACTCGGAGTAGCACTTGAACATCTTTACTGCTTTTTCTGTCTTCTCTCATGACAGACTAACAGATCTGATCTTTTTTTTGGTCAGTGTTGAGATGTTGTGAGGTTCCCGCGTGTCGGTGTATGAATCAAGACAAACACAGTTGTAGAGGAAAATACTGGTATATTCATAAAAGCAATTAACAATAGAGTGATTAGTAGAACGAAGTTTGGTTAGTACGAAACAGTATCCAAAGTCTATAGTCCAACAGTATGTACCGGGTAAGCTTATCTGGACTGCTAACACTGACGCTCTCTCTGACGCTCTGTCACTCTCTCTCCAGAGCTGACTTATATAAGAGGGACCAGTCCATTACTAGTTAGAAGGTGGGTGCGCCCCAACAGTCAGCAAGAACTCCAACTTTATATTGCTTATGCTTTAACCATCTCTACCTCTGACTGCTGACTCCCACCTGACAATCATTATTTCATGAGTTTTTTTCTGATTCTGCTCTTTACATCGTCTGCCACCCACCAATAGGTGGCACAAAATTACCAATTCTGTGACTCTACAGCTAGAGCCTCATATCTTGCAGCAAAGTGGGATGTGTGGGTGGTGTAATTGACAGCTGTTTCAAATGAGAAATCAGAGAGCCAAGTTCAAATTACAGTCAAGTTTGTCATAGTCATTTACAGGGTGATCCGAAGGTCTTGTCACTCCTATATAATATCATTATTATCCTTGATAATAATAATACCCCTGTGGGGTATTATTATTATCAAGGAGAGAATTTCACATGAAGAATACCCATCAGTTGAAAGACGTCCTTCAGAGAGCCTTTGCAACAAAGCACAGCTTTGTAAAATATTACGCAGGACATGGCACCACATCATTTCTTTGTGTTCCACAAAAATGACAGTGTTCATACAAACCTTCTCAATGTGTGACAGCATCAATGAAAGCAAATAAACCAAATCCAGTACATGTGCTTTGTATTACTGTATTACTTGTTCTATTGTTCTAATGATTTTTTTGATAGGGGGTGACTAGACTTTCTGACCACCCTGTACATACAAATACCCTTAGAAAAGGTATGAATCCATCTTTTCTCTCCTAGCGATGGGTTAGTTATTGTATTTAGAAAAATCCTTATCCCCACCCAAAATATTGTTAATATTCAGTTGCAAAAAAAAAAAAATATATTCTTATAATCCCCAAAAATTGTTTGGCTTTAAATAATCGACAAAGGGTTGATAAGCTATAAAAAATCAATCCAGCCACGGGGCATTTGTTCTGGAACATTTTTATCTATTTTTATTTACTCTATTTCCTTTTTACAACTTCTGGGCAGTGGCTGGCTACTTTAAAAATTTTACTGTTGGTTATAAAACACCAGACATTTCAGACTCAAGTAAATTCATTCACAGTCTACTTTACTCTGTGTTCTAAGCTATGGTCAGGTTTTGTTGTGTTGTATATAATTGATACTTTTTAAGGTTTTTAAAATGTTTCTTTAGAGTAAATAGTTTAAGCTAAACTATAATTGTTGGATAAATTTTTTTATTTATTTATGATTACAGGATCGTGTACGGACAGAAGCATACCAAAATTTTATTCTTTCCAACAAAGAAGTATTCCAAGACAAAGTAGTTCTTGATGCAGGCTGTGGAACTGGTATTCTTTCCATGTTTGCTGCTAAGGCTGGGGCAAAGAAAGTTATTGCCATTGACCAATCAGAAATTGTTTACAAAGCTATTGATATTGTCAAGTAAGTTTCTTGATGATTCTAAGTTGTTCTCTTCTTACACAACCGTGTTACATAAAGAAAGATTAATTTTGTTATTGCTTTGTGTTCAAGAAAGAATTGAAGAGGTTTTTATTTACCGGAGATTCATCCATACACTATTTACATTATTTGGACTATTGTCATCTTTGTCACCATATTTATTACGTTTCGGCCATTGTATGCTCCGGCCTTCTTCAGAGGGTTGGAATGTTGAACGGAACCCTTTATTTCACTCACTGGGGTTGTAATAAATATGGCGACAAATATGAGGACAATAGTCCGAATAATGTAAATAGTGTACATAATACCACATCTCAGAAATATAGATAGATACTGATTCATCCATACTTATATAATGAGGTTTTTTAAAATAATATTAAACAATATTTTGATTTCTAATTGTAATTATTTCCAATCATATATGCATGATGTCAAAACTATATTTTTCAATGAAATTGGACAAATTTTAAAAAATTTGACACAATTTTGTTTATTAATTACTTAGTGATGATAGAAACCAATGAATCAAAACTTTATTGAAAATGTTCAAGATGTGCTCTGTCTGTATCCCTATAAATTTCAAATCTATCCTTAGTGTTACAAAACACATTTTGAAACATTTCAGGAGTTGTCTCCTCCTGTACTGCTTTGTTCTTTAAGCACAGCTAAACTATTGATCTTTTGGTAATAAAACATTGTTTTTATGAAACTCCAAGCAAAGAAATCCAGTGGGTGTCAACAAAGATGTGTTCATGTGTATTCATTATTAATAGGGTTCTAGAAGGGAATGAAAATAAAATTAGAAAAAAAATTATAAAATCATAATCAAAAATAGAAATCTATACACTTCTTATTCATGTTAAACATGATGAACAGAAATAAAAGTAAGTTTTTTAAAAAATTGTCTGATTTCAGTGAAATAGTTAATTTGGGGCACACTGTATTCCATTCTGGGCTTATCAGGGAACTAGTGTGTCTAACAGGAGGTTTTCTAATATTTTAACATTATTTTGATTTGTAATCATAATTTAATCATTTCTAATCATATATATTTCATTCTGGGCTTATCAAGAAACTAGTGTGTCAAACAGAAGGTTTTCTAATATTTTAACACTATTTTGATTTGTAACCATAATCATTTCTAATCATATATATTTCATTCTGCGCTTATCAGGGGACTAGTGTGTCAAACAGGAGGTTTTCTAATATTTTAACATTATTTTGATTTGTAATCATATGAAAAGTTCATAGGCTGACCAAGATACTTTCAAAGAATGTGATCAAATGAGATTTTTCAACATAATGCCCTTTGCAGTTCACACATTTCTTCCATTTGTGTTGCAGTCCTTGGAACCATTAATGAAGAAGCTACCATTTTGTTGGTCAAAAAATCATAAACAGAAAATATCATCATCATCACTGCAATAGTGGCTCCCAGCCAAGTGTTTTTTCATAATAGATGGGTTCAAATTAGGAGAATAGGGAGGGTGCTCATCCATTTAAAACCTAGTCACACACAAGCAGTCATGGAAATTAAAGACTTGTGTGCTGTGATATTGTTCTGATTAAAGAAGCCTCCTTACAGCAGTTTTCCTGGGTATTTGGTCCTGATATCCTTTCATAACTGTCTCAGCAAGTTGGTATAGTACTCTTCATTGATTGCATAGCCCTTTTGAACATAGTCAATAAACACAATGCCTTTTGCATCCCCAAAAAACTGAGTCCATCACTTTCCCTACAGATGAAACAACCTTAGCCTTCTTTGGAGCAGTTGAGGAGTGTTTCCACTGCATAGATTCTCTCTTTGTCTCTGGCTCAAAGTGATGAACCCAACACTCATCCTGAGTCAGAAAACATTCAAGGAAACAAGCTGGATCTGTCTTAAACAATGTCAGATTTTCCCCGTTATGTGATCAGCCTGGTACACTTTTGATCAAGTAGCAGAAGACGTGGTATCCACTCAGCAGAAACTCCTATCATGCCAATTACATTGTGCAGAATATTCTCAACTCTCATGGGATATGCTAATTGCATTGACTATTTGATTTATAGTCAATCACCTGTGATTCATCACCATGTGTTGAACACTATCAATGTTTTTCTCCTCTGGTGACAGGTGTCAGATGTACAGAACCTTTTTTCATCTTCAAAACTCTCCCTTCCACTCCTAAATTCAGCTGTTCACTTTTGCACTGTTGGTAAAGCTGGAGCATAATCCCACTAATGTAGCAACCATGTCAGCATGAATGTCCTTGGAAGATAAACCCTTTTTTTTCAGGTACTTGATAACACCACAATGACTAATTTTGTCCTTTTTCAAGAGAAGTCATTACTAGTTAACATTTGAAGTCTTCTTTGAACAGTTAGATTTCAGTTTACCTGGAAAGAAACAATGCAGTTACTAATTAGAAGAGTTGAAATTAATGCATGCAAGGTTTCACAGCTCTAGCATCACTCCTTCGTAGTCAGCCTATGAACTTTTCAGCCCATCCTCGTAATTTAATCATTTAGAATTTTTTATATATATATATATATATATATATATATATAAATTCTGGGATCATCAAGGGACTGGTGCATCAAACATTTTTCTTTATAGATTATATTATTATTTTGGAAACCATTTTGTATGCAAGAGATAAATTCCTTGTCAAAGGAGGCCTGAGTGAGTATCATTTGTTTGTAGATACTGTATTTCCTACCATGTGAAATTTATGAACATGTAACACACTTTGATCTATACTTATATATTGTTTTTTATAATATTTTAACATTATTTTGATTTGTAATCCTAATTTGGTAATTTATAATCATATATATTTTATTATGAGATTATTTACGGGCATTTTCTTTTTCCAGTATTCTTATTCCAACAATGAGTAGGTAGATTCATCTAATCAAATGTCACATTTGCCCTGTTGTTGGGGAATCCTCTGCAGAAGGTGAATATTTGCTGGCTTGCTATGGGTTAAACATCAGTACAGACTAAACTCTCTAGCCTTAGGTAGCATCTAGTCTTTGGAAGGACAAATATGAATTTCAAAATTTGGAGAAGACAACAGGAAACCACTCTGCTACCTTTTCAAAGAATTTATGGCAGTTGATGGATAATAAAGAAAAGAGCCATGATCCTAAAGATACATGGCATTTAAAATTAAGAAAAGGAACTTTTTAATACCACTGCATGCACATGAAAAAACTGAGTGATAAACTCATCAAAATAATAGAAGAAAAAATAGCAAACATGATGAAATCAGATTCAATTATGTTATGAGGGCACCTTTTTCTTAGACCTTCAGAAACCTTTTGGTATATTTGGAAACCAAAATTTTTTTATTTTTTTTTTATTTTATCCCAACCAAAGCATTAATGTTACTAAGACGCAAGGGGTTACTAGAAGTAAAAGGGAATGAGAAAAATTTTAGTGTGGAGGAAGGACAATAAAAAAACTGGGTTCAAGAAGACAGATGATGATGATTGGCATTGCATATCTTTTTTGAAGATTGTACATGGCAGAGAAGCAAAGAAGCCAGAAGAGTTCCATAGACAAGAAATGCAAGAAAAGAAATTATTAGAATAGAATTTATTGTTACATCTAGTGAGATCAACAGTAAAATGATGAGATCATGTAGCACACTTAAGTTCATGTAGTTTTGGTACGAAAGAGGCAAGCTCATCAAAACAATTGCCATGAAAATATTTATAGATAAGACAAAAAAAATTTTTTTTTTTTTTTTATCATCCTTCTGGATTATAAATTCATTTGATTGCTAAATATACCCACACACACATACTTCAAAATTTTTTTTTTTTTTTTTTTTTTTTTTTACTCCCAGAGAAAATGGCTTTGAAGATGTCATTCATGTATCAAGAGGTAAAATTGAAAATACGATGTCAGCTGTAGACAAGGTAATAAAATGAGTTCTTCTTTTATATGCTATAAATTTTCAGGACATGGACAATTCTAGCTCTCTACTACTTTTTGTCTTATTTTTCTAAGTAACTTTTGACCCTTTACCATTATCCTGTTTTGCAATTCATTCACTTAAACCTGTTATGTAGGTTACTTACTGATTTCCTTTCTTTGCCTTCAAAATGTCCTCTGAGTATTATATTCTCCAATCCCGCTTTCTTCATTATATGTTCTAGAAATTTCAGCTATCTTTTTCTGATTGTTAGTATTGGTTTCTTAGTTTGTATTTTTGTTGCAGACACATTACAATTTTACATAATGTGTGTCCAGTTCTAATAATGGGCTACAACAAAAGAAACATGAAATTAAAATATATAAATATATTAGAAATATTTATTCAGATGGTACATACATATCTGTTGATGTTTCCATATGGTTGGAGATCAGAAAGAAGCTTAATACATTTTAATCTGTCGACAGTAATGAAAAAAAAATTGTTCACCAAGGTGGAAACAAGGCAGGGCTATCATTGGCTTGTCTATTGACTAATCAGAGAGCTTGTTACATGCTGGTTACAGCAATGCTATGAAAGAGACCTCAGGATTGGATATTTTCTTCCTTTTCTTAAAAGGATCCATTACATTTTCCTTAACATTTCCTCATGGCTCACATGTTCTGTCCATGGTATTCTCAGTATCCTTCTGTAGAATTAATTCTCTTTTTCCTCTCTTAATCTATGAGAAAATTGTCCAGCATTCAATGCCATATCAAAGTTGTCCATCAGTTCAAAAGAAGACTTTGTTTTGCAATTCATCAGTGGATCCAGAATGGCTCCCTAAACCAAGTCTGAATACTGAAACACTAGGGCAAGTTGATTTTTCATTCACCCCCCCCCTCCCCCAAGAAAATCAACATTGCACTATGTTTGAAAGCTGGGGAATGGTATCATAAGTACTGTCACCAAGAATTAGATTCATTCCTTTTATCAATTTTTGAGCATTTAATTTTAAATATCATCTGAAAAACTGACAGAAATACCTTGTGTCCACACATTTTTGCTTACAGACTGACTTCAAAATTTCATTATTTCAAGAATAAATCCAAATAAAGTTGTTATCTTTCGTATTAGAAACATTGAATGGAAAATATATTCAAACAACAATTCTAATTATGAATCATGATAATCAAAATATGCATTTTTTTTTACTTTATTCGATAAGTGAATCGGTGAAAAATTGTAAAAGATGACAAAAAAGGCTACTCGATGAATAAGATTTGTTAGATCATAATGAATAAAAACAAATAAATAGACAAAAGTGTGTATATATAACACTATAATAATGCTGTGCACACAAGACAAAATGTTTTTAAATTTGCATTTTTTATTGAAAATCACACTAAAACTATTGAATTGTATAACATATTACATCATAACTTAGCTAAATTATTCAGTATAATTTCCCTTTGAAGTAAATGAAGGTCTTATTTGATGGCACAATGATTCAGTAATAATGTTCTTGTGCCAGGCATCGTCGCCATATACAATTTGTAAGGCTTCAGTAAATTATAAATGTTATAAGGCTATGCTATAAGGATTTCACTGATCACTGGAATGAAATTCCAACGCTACGATTTTGAACCTAAGCATAATCTTTGAACTAGTTTACTCAAAAATGATTTGAAGTACTGATTTGGAAGAGATGGATTCATACCTTTCCCAAGCATAATTAGTGTAAGTTAGTGTAATGAACTCAACTGGAATTTAAGCTCTGTTCTCAGATTCCTCAATCTGAGACGCAATCCATTACTTTACCATACCTCCCGTTTGCATTTGTGTATACCAAAACAATTTTGAAACTTTTTTTTTTTTTACTGCTTGTACCATATTAGGTGTTTTTATATATATATATATATATATATATATATATATATATATATATAAAAAAAGTAAAAAAATATAAAAATTGTAACTTTTATTAATATTACTATTACTATAATACTGATTGTAATAGTATTGTTTCCATGCCCAATATATGCATTTAATGAATCTTACAGAATGACCTGGTTTTTAGGTGTTATGTATATTATAGTGCTGAAGGTTTTGTGCAGAACCATCCACACTTTTTGAAGGGCCAAATACATAGACCTGGTGCACTATATGCCACAAAGTCCCCAAACGACCCTACGCAGGTTTTGAATTCAGAGTTGTCCTCCTCCTAGACTAGTTGCCATCCAAGGCTATAGAACCCAGTCTGTCCTGCTATTTACACATAGCTGGAGGGAGAAGAGGATTCATACCTTTCCCAAGGGTATTAGCACGTAAGTAAATGTGATGGATCTACTGGAATTTGAACACGGCTCACCAATTCATCAATCCAAGCCACTATCCATCACAACACTATGCCTCCATATCTCTCTCTCCCTCTCTCTCTCTCTATATATATATATATATCTATATATATATATCTATATATATATATATATATATATATTAATAGGCTGGTTAATAAAATTGGAGGTATGAAAGCCAACAAAATGATAACAATATTGGCAATAAGATCCATCATATTTATTATATATTGTTGTAATGAAATGTCCCACACTCCTTATCACCCATGTGGACTGTCTGTCGGTAGATATATATAGTGAGCTCAGGGGGCTTGCTTCAGAAATGACTAGCCTGCTAACCAATTCCCTGTCTTTCAGTAGTGTATTCTCTTTTACAATAAACCTTTCTTTCATCTACGTGCGTGTTGCTGTTCCTTTCACTCAAGTACCACCTTTGTCTGTCTGTAACCTCCTTTTAAGGATACAACATATATTAGCTTTTTCACTAAATTGTAGCGCAAAAAAAAGATTTTACAGTTGAAATCTTTCTCTTCATGCTTCAATTTAATCAAAAGGCTAATATATAATAAATATCATCAATTTTATTGCTAATACTTTTATCATTTTTGCTTTTTGTTCCTCAAATTTTATTAACCAGCCTAAATCTTGAAGAATTCTAAGAAATTTGGACAGCGTAAGCTGATTTTTTTTTTTTTTATATATATAGTTTAATAAGCAGCCAAAATATGAGAGATAAACTAGTCAAAGATTAATAACATTACTTCAGATAAGAAATTCTATGTCTATTATGTCTACTACTACTAGTTATAAGGAAGCAATAAGAAAGAAAGATAAATTCATAGATAAAAATTAATAACAGTTCTCAAGTTGTTGGCTTTAATAAATGTTTTTGCTAACCTTAAATAAGGATATATTTATCGGTATTTGTTTAATTTGTATATATGCTAAAAGTAAGAGGAATACTGACTCTGATCGCAAACATCCAATTATATTCTTCATTTTTTAAACTCCTTTTATTAAACAAAATAAACACAATTTAATTCTTTAGCGTTTGTGTGAGGAAGTGAAGAATCCCAGTCAAGTTTGGTACAATCACTTATGGACAAATACTCTACAAAGGTATGAATCCATTTCTTCTCCCCCTGCTATGGGTTAAATAGCAAGAATTGTATCTGCAGAAAATCATTATCTCCAAAAAATTGTTAATGCAATTCACTTGAAAAAAAATACAACACGAAATATATTTCAGCTTTGTGTAGAAAGATTGACTAACCTTTTCTACACTTATTGAAACATGGACTCTTTCATTCTTGCCTTCTACATATCCTGTGAGTGTCAAATTTTCCAAACCCTCTTTTCTCACTGTTTTAGAAATTCCAACTGTTTCTTTCTAATTCAAGCCGTAGTTTGTCCACTCCTGGTCTAGAACAAACTTTTTCTATGTGCAGTATTCCTTTCATCTGTGGGTATTTTGTAGAAAGACCGACTAACCTTTTCTACACTTATTATTGAAACCTGGACTCGGCTATACACTATGAATAGAACACCTACTCATGGAATTGTGGCAAAAAGTCGGTTGCAAACACATAGAAATTTCCAGTCCTAGATTTGTCGCACTGAACTACTGTATTTTCAATTCATTTTCTCATTTGATTAAACCTTTCTTCATTCAACCTTTTCTTTCCAGTGGTTTCCCTACAGTTTTACTATGCATAATGAACTTTATAACAGAGGATGATCATGGCTCACCACAACTCTCTTATCTTCGTAGGCCCTAAGCAATATTTAACCCTTCACTATCCCTCCCAACTTATATTCTGCTATCCAGTTATCTTAAGTACCTCTTCTAGCTTCCCTTCTTTCTTTCATTTTCTCACAGAAACCGAGTAGTTTCTCTGATATGTCAGTTAATGTGTTTTCACACAGTCAAAAGGGAATAGTCCATTTTTTATGAGGTACTGGTAGGGTGTAACAGTCATGCAAACCAACTAAAGACTAACCTCCTCTACTTATTGGAACCTGGACTCAGTCATATACTATGAATAGAACGCCTACTCATGGAACTGTGGCAAAAAGTGGTTCACAAAAGTGTAGCGCTTTCAAGTTAGACACTTGTCGCACTAAACTACTGCATTCTCAATCCAATCCACATTCTCATGATTAAACCTTTCTTCACTCAAACTTTTTATTTTCCTTAGTTTTACAAGTGAGCAACTATGGTATTGTACAAATTTTATTACAAGATTTAAATAACTCACAAAGGGTTGATAATCTGTAAAATAATGAATAACAAAACTTTAATGTATATAAATTATATTTTACTTTTTTAGGTGGATATTATTATTACAGAATGGATGGGGTATTTTCTTCTTTTTGAATCTATGCTGGACACTATTTTGTTTGCAAGAGATAAATTCCTTGTCCAAGGAGGTCTGAGTAAGTACCATTTGGTTGTTTATAGATTTTGCATTTATCACCATATGAAGCACACTGATATATAAAACATTTTTATCTATACTTATATATCATTTTTTAATATTGATATCGAAATCACAATTTAATAATTTATAAATATATATTTCATCAAGGAACAAAGGTGTTGAACAGGGCTAATTGTTCTAGTGCTGGTAACCCACCCATATAAGACACTGTGTGTATTTAATAAATTTGCTTAACACAGTGATAAATATTGTACTTATAACAATGTAAAATATATTTAACACTAAATAATATTTGATGATCAGAACAAACATTAAAAAACTAAAATTAATTGCATATTACATGAAGCCTTGTCAAACATTCTTCATTTTTCACTAGGATTTCTTTCATCTTCATTTCAATTGCTTTATTTCCATTAGTAATATCATCCTTGATAAATGTTGACAATGCAAAAACTTTATGGGTTTTTGCATCTCCCTTTGATGAGGGCTTATGGCCAAATCATGTTGAAACATTGGTTCCCATATGATCACTGAAGTTGAGCAACATTGTGTCTGTTAAGTACCTAGATGAGTGACTGCTTGGGAACACCAGGTGCTGTAAGCTTGGATGTGTAGGTTGTGTAATGGATAATGGCTTGGAATTTTTAATGAAAGAGCCATGTTCCAATTGCCATTGGGTTTATTATATTTGCTTATGTGGAAAATGCCCTTGGGAAAGATATGAATCCATTTTCCCCAGCTATGGGTTAATTAGTAAGACTTGTATCACTAAATCATTATCTTCAAATAAGAAATTCTTACACTCTAAAATTATTTTCTGGCTTTAAATAACCTGTAAAGAGTTGATAAGCCTTAAAAAATGAATTCTTCAATCCTTTGTTGAGAAAGTATTGGAATTGCGATTTATTTGCACATAGTTTTAGCTAAATTTTATTTTTCTTACTGTTACCACCATGTTGGCAGAGCATTACACCCAAATTTCCAATACAACCAGCGCTTGCCAATAGGCTCAAAATATAAACCCACAATCAATGGTTACTTTCAGGCTCAAAATATAAACCCACAACCAATGCTTACCTATAGTTTCAATTATGATAAAATACTCACTGTTAAATAACCCAACCATTACTGATATGTTGTAACATCTACTAATCCACAATCCATTTTTCAACCCAAGTCTGCTTTTCTGAGACAATCTTGGTTAATAGTTATTAAGAAAATCCTCTGTATACAAAGATTTGGAATTCTTAAACCGTACATTGGAGATTGTTTTTCCTTTAAAACAAAATTGTCTTGTATTCTTTTTAGTTTTTCCCAATAAATGTTCCACACATCTTGTGGCGATTGATGATGAAGGGATGAGGAAGACTCATGTCCAGTTCTGGGATGATGTTTATGGCTTCAAGATGGGGTGTATGAAGACAGATGTGATCCGAGAGGCCAGTGTAGAAATTGTCAAGCCAAATACAGTCATATCAGAGTCCTGTGTTCTTAAGGTCAGATTTCATTTGTTTTTCAATTTGTTTTATCACTCATTGCATTTGTAGTGAAACCCTGATTCATATTGTTGGCCAAACCTCAAATATCTTGCCTTGGTTGAGCGTAGAATACATCCACTTCATTTCCTGTAGTGTGATAAGATCAACCACCGAAAGATGCCAGCTGCGAGATGCTTGCAGACTCGGATATGAATGGCCAGTATTTGCTTATAGAATGGAATATAAATAAACCAGTGTTTATCCATAATAGTGACACGTATCTGCCTACACTTTGGTAAATGCATCGCTGTAAAATCCCCCACTTAAACAAATTCCTAGCCAGGGATCTTCCACTTAGGCAAACACTCAGCATCTACTGACATCTAAATAAGTGACCTGTGTTCATTTATAGACTCCTGTATAATTAAAATCGGATTTCACCATTAAATAACCCAATATGAATTGATATGTCATAAAATAAAAGCTTTTTAAAGCATTGACGAAAAAGAGACTTGAAGCAACAGAAATGTTGCTCTACAGAAAGAGGCTAAGGATATCACGGACTGAACATGTGAGCAACAACGAGATTTTGGAGGAAAGAAAAAGAAAATTTATACTTAACATCAGGAAGTTAAAATTTCTAGGGCATGTAATGAGGAAAGAGTCCTTGGAAAATTCAATACTCACTGGACAGATTGAGAAAAAGTGAGACAGAGGAAAGCAGCACGTAACATACTTGATGAGTTTGAGCAAATGGATGGAAGAACAGGGTTTGGAAGAAATAACAAAAAGATAAAGCATATTAAGAGCTACAAGGGTCAGGAAGAGGTGGAGAGCCATGATCGCCTATGTCCTGAAGGGACACAGTACATAAAAGAATCAGTACTTGATAGTCATCCACTTCTTGGCTTTATGTCAAGTGACCACATTTAAAATGCTTAAACCAGTTTTGGATGTTAGAGAGTTTTGTTTTGTTAGTCTTTTTTATATTCAAGTGATGCTCAAGTTTTTTATTCAATGGACTTTAGTGTATAAAAAATGTGAGTGTTAAAATGGTTATGACGAATGAATTTGAAAGAGGGTAAGGTGAAGCTTATACAATCTGTTTGCTCTAGCGAAACTGGATTTCTTGATCTTGTGTATTTCTCAAAAAAGCAGAAAAATTATGGATAGAAGGAATAAATGCTGTTGTAAAAACTATCAACGTTTTTATAACATAAAGGCTGCCAAAGTTTACAATCACTCTGATTTCTATTAACGTTCTTGAGGCAGTGAGAGTCGTTAATAGCAAAGATGGAAGCTTGTGTCTGTGTCAAAGATTCCTGTAACTTTTAGAGAGAGTTCAAAATGAAAACCTCTATGACACCAACTATCCAAGTGACTGTGGGTCCTCATTTATATAGCCATTTGTCTGGGGAAATATCTTCCCACAAAGGCCCTTTTTGTTAGCTCCATATCCTTCTTTTCCATTCTACAATCCCTTTCCCCACAGACAAAAAGTTGCAAGCCTCTTGCTGTTTTATCCTTATTACCATGGGAAGTGTTCAGATGAACTACATTCTTTAGTTCTCCCAGTTCTAACCTTCACAGCTAAAACCTGTCATGTCACTCACATTGTGACAAGCCACCCTCATTCTCTTCATATTCCATAGTGAGATGTAAATTCCACTTAAGAAATGACTCCCAAGATGTTGCTTCCCTGATCACTACAATCTTTAACCTGTTCAAGTTTACAGTCAACTGTTATCTTCTCCACATATCCCCATAAACTGTCTTTTACTCTGTATCCTTCTACCTTGAGTGGCTCATAGGCAGTGTACAGAGTGAACATCATTGCAAAAAAAAAAAAAAAAAAGCACATGGACCTTCCAAAAGTATCTTTGACCAAATTCTGGGCCCAGACATTTTGGTAAGAATCAATTAATTTGAGAGTATAGCTGTTGATTTCTCAGGAGAGGAATGATTGCAGAAGTTTTCACCGTCCTCCTCTTATAGTTGGAAGTCCACAAAATGCATACTGGGATAGTTTTCTTAGCCAATAAAATGGGACAGCTTGTGTTTTGACATGACTTCGTTCAGGTCTGCCTTAACTACTAGACAGACCTGCTGCATTCACTTGTCCAATCTTGCTTTTGTGTACAAACACCAACTCATAGTTTATGAATTCTTTTGCCTTCTTACTTGATTGATTTGCTTTAACTATATTGTTTGCTTGCATCATTGATGCTTGTTCATCCTTTTTGTCCTTTTTCTTTTCATTGCAAATTTTATTAATTCTGTTCATGTAATTTATCTTGCATTTTGACAATGACTTCTAATTCATCAGATTACGAGCCCAGGAATAGGCTCTACTTTAATGGTGACTATTCAAAATATGAGCTATGAGAAGTAAAAATTTGGGGTTACATGCAGATCGAAAAATTACACAATATAATTTTGACCCCTTTTGATCATCTCAATGACAATGACTACCCTGAAAAGAATGCAAACACGTTTGCTGAATTAATTCAATTTCTTGATGATCGAAGTTCGTCTCTTATTAAATAAATAGTTCCAGATTGGGCAGGATTTTGGCAACATTTTAATCTTGTCACCTGGGGGTTGTGAAGCTGGGTAGGCAAAATTCAGTCATATTGAATTAACTAAAGTTAAAGCTTCCTAATAAGCATTTTGTAGGTTTTGGTCAATATTTCTAAGCTGAACTTTCTATCAGGTTCCAATTTGGTCAACTAATTTTCTATACTTTTGCCACACCATGGGTTCCATAGGAGGGTGTCACAAGTTCTGACTGACGTCTCCAAAAATGACCAGCTAGCTGAAACCTTCTCTCTCTTGGTGAAACTGAGATAGGAGGAAGGTGTCCATACAGGCGTTTCTTTGTCGGATGTTTCTTTCAGCTGATGTCCAATGCAACTTGTAACATCCTTGTGTATGTTCCGTCAAGTGTTCTTGGTGTTTTGTCAGTGTCCATGTTGTTGAGCCATAGAACAAGACAGATTCTACCATGGCCTTAAAGAGGTCCCTCTTAAGATTGTCAGCAGAGAGGGAGGACTTTCAGATGCTGCTCAGACCATCTAGGATACCCCAGACCTTGCCTTTGCAGATTTTGATGTCTCTCTCTCCATTAACTGGATGTTGCTGCTGAGATAAACAAGTTCCTGGATGGACTTGATGATCTTGCCATTTTTCAACTTAATTTCTCCTCAGTTGTAGCTGATAAATTCTGTTTTGCCAGCATTAATGGAGAGACCAATCTTGCTGGGCGCTTCTTCGATGATACGGAGAAGTTTGGTAGCCTTATCAATCATGCCATATTTCTATAATAATTTCCACTGATTTCTTGTATATGCTTATAGTAATGTTGGATCGCTATATATGGAATAATTTTAATGAATGAAAGTGTTGACCTATTTGTTTGTATCACCTGAGGAAGGCTGGAGAATGAATGGGTCATCCAAAACCTGGTGATGACAACAAAAGCTGCAGAGAAAGGCAGTCACTGGTTCCAACAACTTATGGCATGCTGAAGATTCTTTGCAAAATTATTGACAATACCTTGCATTCTGAAAACAGATGTGAGGGTGGTGTAATGGAAAGTGGCTCAGACTGAGAAATCGGAGAGCCAATTTCAAGTACCACTTGAGTTTGTTGCATTTACTTATATGCAAATACCATTGGGAAAGGTATTATTCCATCTTCTGCCTCCAGCTATGGGTTAAATAATAAGACTTGTATCTGGAAAATTCATTGTTATTCTCAAAAAAAAAAAATTGACTTGCAAAAAAAGAATTATTTTAAAATCCAAGATATGTTACAGTTTTAAATAACCTGCAATGGGTTGATAACTTGTAAAAAGCAAATCAAGCAATCCAAAAACAAATATTTTTGTTTTTCTCTCTACAATTGTTTCTCTTTGTTTTCTATATAACAATTTTTTTTTTCCTTATCACAGGAGATTGATATTAGCACAATCACATTGAAAGGATTGGACTATACCGTTCCTTTGTCCTTGAAAATGACTCTGGACGGCAATATCACTGCACTGGTTGGCTATTTTGATGTCATTTTTGATGGTGCCAACATGAAAACTGTAAGTCTTTCTTTATTTCTTTTGAAAATCAAACTGTAATACAAGAGGTTGATGGATCCCAGAACAGGAGTAGAGGGTTATCCCTTATTTCCAGTTTAGGATTGGGTTTCTTGTTCCTTCTAAAGCCTATTTCTACTCTATACTTCTAACGTCTCTGCCTTAACTCTGAAATTTTATAGGTTTGCCTATCATCCAGTT